ATTAAAGAATCACTGATAGTCTCTAAAAGTTCTTATATCGAAAATACACTCATAGTAAACTTTAACTTGATCGTCCATCAATTTATTTGATCATTTACTCCACGCTATCAGATGTTTAATGTAATTTTTTCATGGTTTTGCAAACCACGTTTCTTTGCGCATCTCTAAGTGTCACTCCCCCTCTAACAGAATCTTTGTGACTGGCTCTTCTGGCTCGCTTGGTATCTACTCAACAACCACAACATCCACGCCCTCTTCTGATGGAAATACAGCTCGACAGCCTCAGAATCCTAATACCTGTTTGCAATTACATCGCCTGACTGCTCCCGCCTGGCGACCCTTCTCAGGCCAGCCGGGTTACTTACCCCACCTGGCGGGAATAGCAGCCCTAGCTATTAGCCCTGATGGCCAGCAAGCTTTTGTGGCTGACGATTCCGGACGTGTTGGTATAATGCGTGTTGACCGCATGCCTGCTCCCCGGCTAGAAACTGGCTCGTCTGGAATGGACAATCAATCTGGGGGCTATGTTTTTGCGGACTCCGGGAATACTTCTAGAGGTTAGTTGCGAATATACTCCAGCATATTCGACACCCTCAAACCTAGTCGCCTTTACACAAATTTGAAAATCATGAAATTACCTCGTTATTATAAAGACCAAGATAGTATGGCCCCTTGTATAGTTCAAGTCTTCTTTATCTGTATTATGTTGTATAGAAGTTGTTTGACCTTGTTTTCGCAACTTGGTCATATTGGCAGGAAGACCTAGAGCAACGCATCTTATCCGGAGTCCATAGTATGCATGATAATTTCCAGAGTCGGACCGTGGATTTTCTACATTCTCAGATATTTTGCAGGCATCGTCAGAAAGCCTTGCCATTCTTAGCACCATACTATAACTCGCCAGAGACAAGTGAATTCGATTCTTGGACCAAATGTGTGCTATATAGTTGTGGTATCTTTCCTTTCTTGGGCTATTCACCTATCCCATATCTTCGTATCACCCCTTTAATAATACTATTTCTTACTTGTTTATCTAGACCTATTTGAAATATATTGACACTCCCTTACTGGTTTCCTCATCCCTCCCATTTTGCTGAGAGTTTTGATTCAAGGCTGCGATTTAATCCGCAATCCTCTCTCTTAGGGTCCTATCAGAGCCCCTTCTTTCTACGTAGAATCCCTTCCTTATCTGCCTGTTTAAGTGATTTCATCCCATAGCTGCCACCGTATCTATGTTACTAAAGGCGTTATGTTCTACACTCTGCCTCAAGCATTCGATAGCACGTATACACCAGCCTTACTGAGCAAGCCCCTAAAGTCTGGATTCTCATTTGACATTACAGCCTAACTTTACACTGCAGATTCCCTTATCGCTGTGCGACATGTGCACCGATTAACTTTCATGGTCAAGCCTTTACTTCATGGACCAAGTTTATGAGCAAACTTATCTACTAATAGCCAACTAGAAAATAGCCACTTTTATGATATTCTATTGCATGCCAACCCCCAAATGTGATGATTCTACTTGATTTGAATTTGCTCACTGTAGACGTCTTTCTTGGTTTCCGATTGTTCCTCTCTCGTCTCTTTGTAATTTCTTTTCATAAAATCCTAA